AAATCCTTAATAAAGGATGTAAATTTTAGAGTACACGATGGAAGTCTCCCAGGTTGAGAAACGTAAATATAAACCATTATTATGGTTAATAGAGAGTTTTCACCTTGTCAAACCTTACCTTCATGCCTGGTTTAGGGGAGACATGGAAAATGATCAGATTGAATTTACTTTACCAGTTTTTGCCAGACAAATGTTCCCCTCTAGACCTCCCATCACTTTTTTTTTTTTGGTTCCAATGAGAAAACTCACAGTTTCAGCCCATGGAAGGGCAGCACTACAGTGGCAGGGGCAATACAAATTCATCCTGTGTTGCGCTACCAGAAATGTCTGTGTGCACTTGAATGTATGTAGCTAGGTGAGTGGATGAGGGTATAAATGTGCACAGCCAGTGTTCAATTACTTAAAATATTGTATTCAACTTTACAAAAAAAAGACAGGAGGTTTCCTGCTCAACTTCAGATAAATAATTTTATTAGGTTTCTGAAAACATATACCAAAAAGCTCATTTTTTTCGTGTCATTTAACTGGATCTTGACAGTCTCTGAGCAAGTTTTATGGTTTGGTTGGGAATTATTTTAGATCCTTGATCAAGAAAAATCCTCAGGCTTATGAAATTCTCCTTGGCAACAAACTGAAAATCCAGTGTCCTCTGATGCCTCTGATTCTTATGTGATCAGGGACACTAATGATAATGACCCTTTGCTGAGTATGCTACTTGTCTAGAGGCCTATGTCAACTACACTACTACATTCAGAGTGGACAGGGACAAACTATTTGTTTGCTCTTGAGGCCCCTTGGGCCCTGTCATATGCTATTTGTTCTTGCATTAAGAGGTAGTTTGACTCAGCTGGGCTGACATTTCCTTCAAGTCAGTGTATTCCACTCATGCAGTAGCAGCTACCAAAGCATTAAGTACAGACTTGAGCTCCAGAAACAATCCTTTTAAGTGGCTTTTTTGATTCATATCCAGGGCTTTTCATATTTTTACTGGTCATTCTGGAATCCAAAATGACACTTTTTTTTTTTAAAAAAAAAAACAAACACCTAGCTTGGCTATTTGATAATTTAGGTGAAATAAGCCTCCTCAGAATTAACATGTCTGTTCATCAATAACATGCATCAAAACCTGTGACTGTGAGATGATGAACAGGTGAATTGCTATCTCTGCATGACACCCAAGGCATCAAATGGTTCTACTTCTCCATCTGATGAAGGAGACCTGATATATGATTAGTCTGCTACTCACAGTTTCCTTCATTTTCCTTCCACTTCCTATTTAAATTTTACTTTTTATTGCAACAGGATGTTCTTCTGTTTACATCTCCACAGAAGTATCTGTTTTTTCCTGTTGGAGTTTATTTTTAGATAATACCCATGTTCTTGTGGGTTTAATGTGACAGACTTCTGTTGATGTAAACCAGATAGAAATAACCATGACAATGCAGAGTGTTTTTCTAGTTATTTTGCATTTGTAGCAATAGTTAGAATTCAAAGAATTTGTTTCTGATTGATTAGATTCTTCCACTATTGCATCAGTGTGATTCTGCTCATGTCATTTGATGTGATACAGGGCTCAGTTAGAACAGTGACTTTCTAAATGTGAATCTAGACCATTTGTATACAAAGAACATCTGTACGTCTACCATTTATTTATTTCAGTCAGTAATTTATTGACATTTAGAGACAATAACATCAAAAAGATGACATTGATAAGATGTCTTTAATCTATCTGGATCATATTTGGTAATATACCTTTCTATTTACATGTGAGTAAATCTCAAAAATTCCCACTTTCTGACCAGGTCTAAATAAGTACCTGTCAGACCTCTTGTCATGAATTCCCAGGGAATCCCTATGATATAGCTTCTGTCATCTGTTCTACTCCAGTGAGAGCAGAAGTCATAAAGTTTTATCTTATGGTGTAATACCCTCTTCCCTGATTTGTCCCTGACACTGTGGAAATCTAAAATCTACACAGCATCATTAACATTGTCTTAACTGTAGGGCTGCTCAGAAAGTGATTCTAAAGTCACAACTCTGATTACGATTTATAAACCAACTTTTCACATATTCCTCCTTTACATACTCCAGACTTCTTGTGCTCCAGACCCTCCCTAGATCCATGACCATAGCTGAGGAAAAGCCTGCAAAGTAGCCAGCTGTTTCTGTGGGAGGGCCAGGGGTGAAGCTGGATTTGAAAAGGAGCTTTTTAAATAAATTCAGGAAAAATATTGCAAAGATAAATATCAGCCACAGACATGACAGTGCTTTAGCTGATTTACATCTTGTGTACTTTTAGCTGACATACCCTAAAGTTTTCTGGGCAGGAAAGCAAGTACCTGTCACTTTAGGTAATTTACGAGGATACAAAATAGCAGATAATGCAGCCCACCTTTGTTTACCGAAAAGGAGAAGAGCATTTGGCCATTACACACAAAGCTTAACGGAGTTCTCTTCTGATTCAATCCACTTTGTCTTATTTAGCACCTTGAACCAAAGTTAAGTCAGTGTAGATAAAGGGTAAGACAAAGAGACAGTTGGGTCTGGGGAGAGGCTGAGAGTGCCAACACAGGGCTGGTGAATAAATTTATCAGCGAGGGAGAAGAGGAAGAAAACAACGTCTGGATTTGGAAGCCTGGCAAGTTCTCCATTCACTGCTCGACCTGTGTTTAGCAATTCTGATGTGCTACTGAGCAGACAGCTCAGGCTCAGGACGACTACTCTCCCTCAGTCCCTCTTCAGCAGGCAATGAAAGCAGACTCTACTTTGAAAATCTTCCCCCATCATGCAAACTGACACAGGCATGCTTTTCAAAAACCCACAGCCAATCTGTTGATCATTACTTATTTACAAAGGCCTTCGGGCAGAAAGTCCTGTAAAAACCATACTTGATACGGTATACACTAGCTTTTTCTGCTTGTGGAAAAAAGTACCCCTAAGGCTACCTCAAACCATCACTTTCTATTGCACATAAAATGTACCATGTAACACTAAAGTATTTAATATATATGGTATAATATATCTACAGGAAAGGCATTTGTGTAGAAGTATGTTACCCTGTATTTGGTAATTTGATGTTTTGCTGAAGGCTATGACTTGAAAAAGCCTGCACCTAGTACAGAGGACCTGTCATCTCAGTACCCAAGAGCCAATAGAATAAAGAAGTACCCTTAAGCAGCAAAACTTTGACACAGCTTTGAAGCATATGAAAACAGTATAACTCCCCAGAATTATTATTACTCAAGATCAAAGAAATGAGGCATACTTTACATAGCAAACAGGGACAGTGTGCTTGGCTCCAAATGTTTCAGCTCTTTCTCTGTCTCTTTTTATTTCTACTTCCCCATAAGAAGACTGTCCAAAGGTAAGTAAATTGAAAATGATGCTAGGATGACAACTGGCACCATAAAAATGAGAGGCTTGCCAGTATGCTCATTTTATTCTTCCTCATAAACTGTAAACAAGCATGTAAATCAGTGTCATATGGGCAATGCTGAGCTAACAGGAAGGCAGAGAACTTTTAATGATACATTTAACAGGAATAGATGGTCAACAGGAAAAAAAAATAAAAGCCACAGCTGGGCGCGTTTTCCTCTGTAAATCAATCTCACTTTGGTTCTATAGTCTAAACAGATATGAAGACAACTTGCAGAAGTTACATCCTTGAATATGCCCTATATTGCAGTAACAATAAACAAATATAGAAGCTTCTGTAACTGGTCAAAGAAATTTGTCTACTGACTGAAATACAAAGAGGAATACCTAGCTGTATCCAGAATTGCTAAAGCAATAGAATAATTGTCAACAGTAAAAGCCATGAGTGATTTTACATATGGGAAGAACTATATATTCTTTTTTTTTTTTTTCACTTAAACTCTGTGACTGCAGAACAGTTACAGTTATACATACACCCTAACCCCAAACTGCATGAATGAGTCTGTTTATATATGTAAATAAGTTTACATTTTTCAGGGTGTGTATATATATATATATATATGTATATGTATATGTAGTGTAAAAACTCTGTTATGGTATTTAGTTCTGGATACAATTATGGACTGAGGTTCTAGATCGGCTACTTTAGATATGCAAAACCAGAGCAGGATTAGCCTCCTTGTAGAGAAAACTCAACATCTACTATTTGATCCTGTTCTGACTGACTTGAGCAGGCAGAAGCTGCAGCAGAGTGAGACAGAATGCAAAAGCCATATTATTTTAATAGATTACACTTTCTTTTTGCAGTTCTACTTTTAACAAATCTCTTAGAGGTAATGTATCCTATGGAAGGAAACTACATAGTTATACAAAAGTGTACTGGTGTAAAACAATGTACGCAATAGCAACAGGGAAAAATATCACTAACAAGATGATGTTTTCGTCACCCAATTTTAGAGTGTATACTACACTCTTAAAAATCCTCATATTTCATAATTAATGTGCTTTTAGCCTGAGTAAAACTGCATTAGTTTTAAACTTTGCTTTGGCAAGTACATAGATTATTAGACTTTTTTTATCATTCTAAATCAATTAACAGAAATTTGATTTCAATCGACAGGATAAAAGGAAGGTAATATTCAGGTTCATTTTTGATTGTGATGATACATCTCACATATGGCCTTAAGTACAGAAAACAATACTCAGAGGGAATCCAACAAAAAGAGAACTGCCTGAGGCAAACTAACCACATGACTTCCCCTGATTGGTTAGTGCTATCATTAGTGCCACTGCTGTTTAAGAACTACACACGGACAGGACAGGGTGACAGCTAAGACTTTAAAGCCTATGTATTTTTCAAACAGCTTTTCAAACTGTTTTTCATGACAGAATTTTTTTCAGCTCTATCATTAACTGCTGACAAGCTGACAGAATAAATACTTCAGCCTTTCAGAAACCATCTAACAATCTTTTTTTTCCACCCCTTCCCCTTATTTGATGTGGGGGGAGGAGAAGAGGAAGGAAGGAAGAAAGGAGATGAAGAGATGAGTGTCTTACAGTCTTACCTCATCAGTTTGGGTGAGGAGTTGGGTGAATTTCGCATGCCTCCGTTTCGCTGCTTTTTTTTGGGTGATAGTGTTGACGGCTGCTCATCTTCAACTGGAAATATAAGGAACTCATGAGATTAAGTTCTGCTTTAAGTGCAATAAGAAATACAAGTGAGTAGCAAAGAACACACACTCTATGTCCATTCACGCACTGATACTTCATTGCTAACATAGGCCCAACAGTAATAAAAATCAAATACATGTTAGTCGAAGAGATTGGTTTGAAGGAGAAGCAGGGAAGAATACCAGGGTTTTGAACACAGGCGTTCAAATTGATTTCATACTTCAAAAACAAAGGAAGGGAACCACATTCGGGTTATTCTTAAGAGTTATTTTCAGTTAATCTGTGATACAGAAAAGTAGAATTAGTGCTCTGCTATATTCCCAGAAAAATAAAGTACTATTTGCAATACCAACATAACAGCTGCCAGCCTGCTTTTACTAATGAACTAGACACCAGTTGGTTCTTGCTCCTCACATGCCAAACAACAGAGTATTCATGAAGAGATGTAAAATATTCAATGCCTTGATGTTCAATGATTCGGTTAGTCACGAATGTGAACGCAGCCTGCCATTGTGTACAGACCTCCAGCACAAGTTAGACCTCATTGCTCTACCCTTCTCACAAAAGGGAGTTTTAACAGGAGTAAACAGAATGAGGTTGAATGGAAGTGGGGAGACAATACCTGTATAACAGAGGATGCATGTGTTAAGCAATCTTTTAATGAGGATGAGGTGCATTTTCAATGACAGATCAACTTCCAGATGTAAAATCACTTACAGTTTTGCCAATCATAAACTACTGTTGGATAACCTGTATCACAGTACATATTGCTTAAACAAGTGCAGCTGCCTAATAACTCATCTATAAGAATTAACCATCATCTTTACTGTTTCAAGATTGTTACTGCACTTGATAATCTGTGCATAAGGTTTACATGTGCTACCAAAGGGAATTATCTTATGCGAGGAAACTGTTACTTTAAAGCTAAAAGGAAAGTGATTAGCAGCAGTAGTAGATGTATTAAAAGAGCTTAGTACACATTAGCACTGCACAAGCAGAGGCTGGACAAAAAAAATAATCTATTTGCAACAAGCTACAAAGGAAAAACAATAAAAACTGGATATGTCAGCTGCCCTAGACTTATCTGGGTAGAAAGTAAGCAATATCCTTCTGCTATAACCCTCTTCTGGCACTATCTTATTACAGATTGCATTCTAGCCTGTCATGTCTGTCTGTTTGCCCAAGTCTGCTATGGAACTTCATTTTGCCTTGGTCAAGATGGAAGGACTGGTCCCTGAAAAGACAGATGTGCTGTCTTTTTAAATTACCTGGCATCACCTAACACATCAAGGGAATCAAAACAAAGGAAAGCATTGCAAAAGAAAAACAAACAAACAAACAAGTTAACCCCAGAATGAATGCCCCAAAGAGTGGTGTAAAAAGTAGTACTTAAATCAGAGCAATGACCGTGTAATAATGATTTATTTCACTAACTTCACTTCCTTTTCTTCTTGGGTAGCATCCCCAAGGACAAAGCCATTTCCCACTCATTCGACTTTTTTTCCAAGTCAGAGTCCTGTAGTGGAAATGCCTATTGATGATTAGTCAGGTATCATTCTTTGTTTGGCTGAGAGATAAATAAGCCCATAGAAAATTCTAAAAAATATGCTAATTAAAACTTTATTTCTGTACAGTTTGTTCAGATTAAACTAGATTACTTCAGCATTTAGCTATTTGTGACATGAAGTGAATATGCACAGAATTATTTTGCTAGTAATATCTTTCTATTTCTTATTCTAACAAAGTGCAAGTATGTGTGCATTTCAGAACACCCTCTGCAAATCACGATTTTGGAAATGGCCTAGTCTTGTTTTAAACTTGTCTATCAAAAAGTTATTTGCATGCTTTTCCACACAGACAATAGGTTGCTTTCAAGATATGCACTATGCTCTCTTATTCTTCATAGGTTATAAATACTCAGTTCCAATCTGATGAATCCACCACTTAAAAGATCAAAGGAACAAGAACCATGCAGAATGTTCTGTCCAGAAACCAGCTACAACTGATATGTTTTGCTCTCTTGTTAGTAAAAATTCTAAAGTTCACTTAATTTAATCTGCTACCATGGGGTTACAAAATGTCAAGAGATTCAGTATTGCACTGTAAGTAAAGTGCATTGTTATAATATTTTAACAGTTTAAGGAACATATATAGCCATCAGGACCATGTGCAAAATCTTACATTAACAAAAGACAACTGTTTATCATATTATAGCCAAAAATACTTCTGTAAGAAAACACTATCAAAAAAAGTACTTTTCCAAGTTTTCAGCTAGCTAATAAGACTCCTGTCTGATCCTTTCAAATACTGAAAGTTAGTGCAATAAGGATCTTTTGTACTATGTGGTCCAACATTTTTGCTCTCCACCGCTGCCAGGTGATGTTACTCTACTGTCCAATTAAAAACCAAAGTCTTACTAGCAATCATCCGGAATAATAATAATTTGTAGAACTAGATTTCTAGCAGTCTGCACTTATTTTTGGTCTATTTTTTAATCTATAATAAATAAGCTTCCTCTTTTGATATGTGCTTGTCATATTCAAACTGTTGCTACTGTCACCAACTGCCTGGAAAGTCCAAGGTTAATGTGGTTCACTAGTTAATACCTGTTAGCAAAGCCTTCTGAGGGATCTCGATTTGTTGCTAAAGCAATGCCTTGTTTAAGCAAGGAAGCCATTTATTTTCATTGCAGCAATGAAAGGTGATCTATCTTAATCATATCACATTCAAAGAAAATTTTGCTTTCAATTAAAACTGTGCATAGAATTTACAGGGCATGTGCAATTTAGAAACACAGCTCCATAAGAACTGGGGAAAGGAATCCATGAATCTGAAATATGTGAATAGTATAGAATGGACACCATTACCTTCGTTCCCAAAAGTGTTGCAGTGATAACTCACAAGTGACTTCTTAGTAGTAAGTAGGATATAAAAAATATTTAATTATTAATCTACAGATACTCTTATCAATTTCCTGCACATCAAAAGAAATAAAACTAGCAAAATTTTTAGTAAAGCCATAAAATATCATTTTAGTTTCATGGCTCATCTGTCTACATTAATTTAAAAGGGAATCTTAAATTTGCTTGTTCTTATGAAAGACAACCATATTTGAATAATGGGGTGTGATATATGACAAATCTGATGTTATATGTTTGACCTAGTGCTTTTATTGATGAGAATGAGTCCTTATTTTTAGTATTTTTGATGTGTTTATGCTACAGGATTTGTATTAAAATAGTCATATTATATTATGCAGACATTTTTTAGCAGTTTTCAAGAAAACAGCAAATAAATTGAAGAAATCAACACAGAATTTTATATAATCAGAACTCAATCCAGCCTCTACATTCTAATAAAATTCAAGAGCTGGTTTGCACATCCCTAAGCATAACACTTACTGTTGTACAGAACCCACTGCTCACTTGTCTAATAGGCAGAGAGTCTAACAGTTTTGCAGTTCAGGAAGACTCAGTGCTAGAAAAATGTCAGGTGAGTCTAATGAGGCTTCAGATGCTCTGGTTTATGCTGGAGTTTAATTTAAAGTTACACTGATGTTTTAACATGTTTGCTTATTCTTGAGTAAAGAGAATTCATTATTTCAATGACATAACCTCCAGACAATGTTCCATGAATTGATTTAAGATGTGCTGGTAATTTTAACAGCCTAAATGTGGAGCTGAACATCTGTAACAACATATTACTTGATTGTTATCCTCATTTTTTAAGCAAAATAAAGGGAATGTCTTTCAGAAACACCGGACAAGTTCATAACTTTTTTCTTTGTTATTTTGTTACTGTTCTTTAAATAAATCTGTCTCCTTCACTGCCTCTCCTAGGTCACTAGCAGAACAGTTTACAGACACTGTTTTTTAGATCCCAAGAAGAGCTGGAATTTGAAGTAACACCTATGTTACTGGACGTCACATGAACTGGAATACCTGGTAAACTCATTCTGCCTAGCAAGTAAATGCTTCAGAGCAAATAAAACATATGAAAGGCAAAGCACAAACCACCCAGAAACATTAGTTGACTAGCTATCTCGATTAACTTATTAATGACCACATCTGGAGAAACCCAAATATGTAAGCACTTAACAGAGCATTAGTAATGTCATAGTTGCATTGAAAACAGACTGCAAAAACATGCACAAACCAATCTGTATTGCCTTATATATCCAACTATGGGGCTACCTACGGAGATCTTGGTTCAACCCAGGCTTTTGGGAGTGGTAGCGGTATTTTACAGGCAAGCTGAGTGCCCTTTGCAATCTACAGTATGTAGATTTTCCTTGTTCAACAGAACTCAGTAAGTTAAGGTGCAGTAGCGAGGGGTTGTTGGGTAGGAAGAGGCTCCCTTTACGATTATTAACAAGTGGAACAGGTTCCGGGATTCCTTCAGTGGACTTGGCACCAACCAATGCATTAGTAGTTGCATTCTTGAATTGATACGAACATTTGGGGTAACTTGATCTAGCTGCATTCTTTACTTCTAAATAATAAGAAAAAAATTAAATTAATGTCTTTGTATTAAAAAATATTTCAAACCACAGGCATGAATCAATTTTGATATTATGTGGAATTACAGACTTTGAAGCTTAAAGTATTTATACCTGCAGCTTTTTTTTTTTTTTTTAAATGGCTTTTTAATAAAAGAATACTTAAAAAGGGATTATTTCACAATATTATAATCTTTAAGAAATAATCCCATCCTAGGGTAAGTGTATCTGAGGCAACACTTATTTCCCACATGTTGATAAAGGCTTTGAGATTTACTAGCTGTGGAAGATGTTTATTCCTTTGAATCTACTGAAAATGACAGGGAAGGTAGAGCACTCCGCTGCTATTAAAATAAATAAGGAATCATAGAAAAAAGTAAGGTCAACACTTCAAAATTGTGCAAGCATACTTATGGAATTAAACTGATGTTTAGGAACCTACATAGAAGTTCTTAGGTATTCAGAAGTGCTGAATACTGTAAATTTCAGG